AAAGGAAATTTAAAGCATCCCGAGATAGTATATTATCAGAAATGAAGATGCTAAAAGAGAAGAGGCAGCAGTCAGAGAAAACCTTTATGCCTAAGGTTCGTCAGCATGCCTTTTGTTGTAGGGTTGTTTTAATGGTGTAGATTTAAAAGTGGATTTTTTTTTATCACAGGTTGTTTATGAGTATTGTTCAGACCCATGCTTTTGGATATGTTTACATTTGTCTATACCAACCACTTATACCATTGGGCACTCATTTTGTAGACCACACTCATACTTCAGTGCACAAAGAAACATTTGAGTTGTAGCATAATCGTACTGCTTGACATTCAGTATTTAATTTTGTCAGTAGTATTTTTTTCCCTGTAAAACACTGTTTATGAAGTTACCTGAATACTTTATTATATTTTGTGCAGATTGTATTGTAGTGAGTAGAGGGCAAATCAGTGACTGTTTTTAGAACTGTTAATATATACTGCTCTGATAAGCTTGAAGAAACATTGATCAAAAATTGTTATATAGTGCACACACATACACAAAATAAATTTAAAGACTCCATGTTATCAAGTTGATTCCACCTCATATCAGTCCTCTCTGACAAAATAGTGTTTCCGCATAGTGTTTCTAAGGCTGTAAATCTTTTCTTTTTTTTTTAATAATTTTATTGGGGCCTCATAGAGCTCAACACAATCCATGCATACATCCATTGTGTTGAGCACATTTGTACATATGTCGCTATCATCATTTTCAAAACATTTTCTATTTGAGCCCTTGGTATCAGCTAATTTTCCTCCCTCCCTCACGAACCCTTGATAGCTTATAATTTTTTTTTTTTCATGTCTTACGCTGACCAATGTCTCCCTTCACCCACTTTTCTGTTGTCTGTCCTCCAGGGAGGATGTTATATGTAGATCATTGTGGTTGGCTCCCCTTTCTCCCCCCACTTTCCCCTTACCTTCCTGGTGTCTCTACTCTCATTATTGGTCCTGAGGTATTTATCCCTCCTGGATTCAGATTGGATTGAATTTGGACACTGCAAGGAGGCAGAAAAGATGTGGATCTAAGACTATAAATCTTAAGGCTGCAGACTGCCACATTTTTGTCAGGTGGAACAGCTAGTGAATTTGAACACCCTTCAAGTCTTTGACCTTTCAGTTAACCAAATGCTTAACTACTATGCCACCAGAGTTTCATTCCCTATACAGTGCCTAAATATTACTGCAGCAACCAAGAGTGAAAGAAATCAGCTACATTTTACTTTCATGCATCACAGAACTTTTTCTTTAAGTTCTTAAGAATGTGTATGAAGACTTATTTACATAATATATTTTATATTATATAATGTATGATGTTTTACATGCCCCCATAGACATATCATAAACATTTATTATATATCCTAATTGTCAATTTTAATGGACATCTAATATTTGAATTGATATAACTATTTACTTAGCTCACTTTAATATCAAATTTAGATTATTTTCAGTTTTCCACTATTAAAATTAGTACAATGATTAATAATACTTCTATTAATAAGTGGATAATTTCATATAGCAACGAAGCTTGCAAAGTTTGGAGGCAAGTTTACATGCCATGGAATCTACCAGAGAATCATTAAAAGCAGAATTGGGAACAGACTTGCTCTCTCAGCTTAGCCTGGAAGATCAAAAGAGAGTAGATGCACTTAATGATGAAATTCGGCAACTTCAGCAGGCAAGTACAATTGATGGGAAAACTTCCATTGATAATGACTATTGTGAAAACTGCCTTTCTTACTAAATAAAGGAATGGAATATTAAGAGCATAAAAATGTAACTTGGACTTCAAATATCCTTAAAAGTTAAATAATACTTCATTTATGTTTTTCTAACTTGTTGTGGATATGTTCGGGTTATGTAAGAAATCTGTATTTTCTATACTGCCTTTACTAGTAAAGCCTGAGCTTGTTAGATTTGCCATATTATTGAATATCTTTACTTATTTAAGTATTTCTCTTCAAGTAAAAATTTAAACAGCAGTTGATTTTGGGATGCAAAGATTTTAACAACCAACACATCTTAAAAAATTAAAAAGCAAGAAAAGACTAATACTTTAGCGAAAGAAGTAGAAACACAAACTTAGTACTTTGAATAGATAAAGAGTTGAATGCATAAAAAGTATATGAAGATTGTATGTACAGGACCCATTTCCGTGCCAGTGGGCATCAGCTGTGGTGGTGCGCTGTTCCTGTGTGAGAAATGTGGACAGCTGACTGACTTTCTTCTTCTAGGAAAACAGACAGTTGCTGAATGAAAGGATTAAATTAGAAGGCATAATCACTCGTGTGGAGACATATCTCAATGAGAATCTGAGAAAACGCTTAGACCAAGTAGAGCAGGTACGTTTGCGGAGGCTGTCTCGATGAGCTCACCTCTGGTCCAGAGCGTGGGTTTGGGGACAGAAAGACTGGCGCTCTGAACACCCACCCGCGGGCTGAGCTGTAGCTTACAATCTTAAGCAATTTACGATTTCTAAGCCTTAGTTTCCTCCAGTGTAAAGTTAGCTTAATAGTAGTACTTTTGTATGATTACTATTCTGCCACATTGTCGATATTCATTAAATGTTAATATTTTCTCAGTAGTAGTCATCATGCTGAGAACTTTTCTAGTAATTACATCATTACTTGCCCTCTCCTCCCGCAGGGATGCTATAAGTATTTGCAATAAACATGAAATACATTTTGTTTTCTTGAATGTCTATCCAAATAGTAACAACTGTAGAAATTATTGGCAATCTTACATTCTAAACTAACCATTTATATATTTCACTGTTTAATGTTTATAAATTCTTTTGATATTAAAGGAACTTAACGAACTGAGAGAGACAGAAGGGGGCACTGTTCTCACTGCCACAACGTCAGAACTTGAAGCCATCAATAAAAGAGTCAAAGACACTATGGCACGATCAGAAGGTGAGTTTTTTGCAGTAATTTTTTAATGTAGTTAAACTTAGGCCATTCATTTTATAAAATTGCTTAGTATATAATGAATTATCCAAACCTCCAATAGCATGTATGTAGGGTTTTATGTGTTTTTCCATTGTCAAGAACTATTTGTGATAAATAGAATTTGCCATGTGGATTATAAATTTTAACCTTTGTTTCGTTGAAATATTTGTCACAGTTTTATCATAACTTACTCATTTAGCTGTATTCTAGATTCTGAAAAAAGCTTGGAGCAGCTGAACCATGTTTCTTACTCCTTACTGTGGGTCAGAGTCAACTTGATGACTGAGCTTGGTTTCTCTTTGAACTTGCTGAAAAGAAAATATTTTTTTAGCTTTTTATAAACCTAAGAAACATTAAATACTGAAACTTGTACTTGATTAAATGTTTTATGCACTCCTAATTTTGTCCAAAAATATTACAGTAAAACTTGAACACTGAAAAAAACCTAACGTGTTTCTTTTCATAGATTCGATCACAAAATAAATTCTTTAAATAAAAAGATAAAATACTTTAAAGTATATTCAAATAATATTTTAAAATAGATTTCTAGATGCTGTTGAGTCATTTTCGACTCAGCAGCTTGCTACACCTCCTGTAGGAGGACTGCTTTGCATTGCAGTTGTTGTCAATGAACCTGTTGCACTTTGAAGGGGTTGGAGAGAATTTGCAGGAAGGAGCCTGGTGGCACAAGCAATTTATAATCAACTGCTGACACTAACCTAAAGGTTAGTGGTTCAAACCCACCCAGTGGCTCCATGGAAAAGAAGGGAATGTGATCTGTTTCCATAAGGATTCTTATTGTTAAGTACTGTTGAATTGATGCCAATTCATAGCAACCCTGCCCTGTCTCAGTCTTTCCTATGTTTGATTGAGCCCGTCATTTCGGCATTTTGTCAGTCTTATCTCATTAAAGGTCGTCTTCTTTTTTACTGACCCCTGTCTGTTTTATCATGCACAATGTCCTTCAGGGACTGGTCTCTCCTGATACCATTTCCAAGTTTATGAGATGAATCTTGCTTCTAAGGAATTCCCAGGCTCTACTTCAAAGACAGATTTGTTCATTCTTCTTTGCCAACACCATCATTGAAGTGCTTCGCTTCTTTGGTTTCCTGTTCATTATCCAGCTTTCACGTGCACCAGGCAGCTGAAAATACCACAGCTTGAGTCAGGGACACCTTCGTCTTCAGACTGACATCCTTGCTTTTTAAAACTTTTAAAAATTATTTTTAATCATTTTATTGGGGGCTCACACAACTCCTGTCACAATCCATACATACATCAATTGTATAAAGCACATTTATACATTCATTACCCTTATTCTCAAAACATTTGCTCTCCACATAAGCCCCTGGCATCAGTTCCTCATTTTCCCCTCTCTCCCTGCTCCCTCCTCCGTTATGAACCATTGATGATTTATAAATTATTATTTTGTCATCTTTTTTAAAATCATTTTATTAGGGCCTCATACAACTCTTACCACAATCCATACATACATCAATTAAATAAAGCACATCTTTACATTCATTGTCATCATTCTCATAACATTTGCTCTCCATGTAGGCCCCTGGCATCAGCTCCTCATTTTTCCCCCTCCCTCCCCGCTCCCTCTTCCCTCAATGAACCCTTGATAATTTATAAATTATTATTTTTGTCATATCTTACACTGTCCGACTTCTCCCATCACCCACTTTCCTGTTGTCCGTCCCCTAGGGAGGAAGTTATATGTAGATCCCTGTAATCAATTACCCCTTCCTCCACCCTCCCCATATTGCCACTCTCACCACTGGTCCTGAAGGGATCATCTGTCCTGGATTCCCTGTGTTTCCAGTTCCTATCTGTACCAGTGAACATCCTCTGGTCTAGCCAGATTTGTAAGGTAGAATTGGGATCATGATGGTGGGGAGGAAGCATTTAGGAACTAGAGGAAAGTTGTATGTTTCATTGTTGCTACACTGCACCCTGACTGACTCGTTTCCTCCCCGAGACCCTCCCGGAAGGGGATGTCCAGTTGCTTACAGATGGGCTTTGGGTCCCCACTGAGCACTCCCCCTCATTCACAATGATAGGATTTTTTGTTCTGATGATGCCTCAGTCCTCATCCCTTCCACACCTCGTGATCACACAGGCTGGTGTGATTCTTCCATGTTGACTTTGTTGCTTCTGAGCTAGATGGCTGTTTGTTTACCTTCAAGCCGCTATATCTTTTGATAGCCGGGCACCATCAGCTTTCTTCACATTTGCTTATGTACCCATTTGTTTTCAGTGATCATATCGGGAAGGTGAGCACACATTGATAAGATTTTTTGTTCTTTGATGCCTGATACCTCATCCCTTTGACACCTCGTGATCACACAGGCTGGTGTGCTTCTTCCATGTAGGCTTTGTTGCTTCTGAGCTAGATGGCCGCTTGTTTACCTTCAAGTCTTTAAGACCCTAGATGCTATATCTTTTGATAGCCGGGCTCCATTAGCTTTCTTCACCTCATTTGTTTATGCACCCATTTGTCTTCAGTGATTGTGTTGGGAAGGTGAGCCTCATGGAATGCCAGTTTAATAGAACAACGTATTTTTTGCATTAAGAGAGGCTTTTTAATACTTTAAAAACGTCTTTTGCAGTAGATTTGCCCAGTGAAATAGGTGATTTGACTTTTTTTTTGACTCGTGCTCCCATGGTGATTGATTATAGGTACAAATAAAATTAAACCCTTGAAAATTTTAATATTTTCTGCTTATTGTGATGTCGCTTTTTGATCCAATTGTGTGGCTTTTTGTTTTCTTTATCTTGAAATGTAATTCATTCTGAAGATTACATTATGACCTTACCCCCCTCTCCATTTAGATCTGGACAATTCCATTGATAAAACAGAAGCTGGAATTAAGGAACTTCAGAAGAGTATGGAACGCTGGAAAAATATGGAAAAGGAACACATGGATGCTATCAATCATGATACTAAAGAACTGGAGAAGATGACAAACCGGCAAGGCATGCTGTTGAAGAAGAAAGAAGAATGCATGAAGAAAATTCGAGAACTTGGATCACTTCCCCAGGAAGCATTTGAGAAATACCAGACACTGAGCCTCAAACAGGTAATTCGTACTACTGGTTTTAGCTTTGAAGCCTTGTTGCAAACTTTCCTCTCTGTTTCCAAACTTTGTATTTATAGACACCGGTTTTCCCTTTATAGTTGTTTCGAAAGCTGGAGCAGTGCAACACCGAACTGAAGAAGTACAGTCACGTCAACAAGAAAGCTTTAGACCAGTTTGTAAACTTCTCTGAGCAGAAAGAAAAGTTAATAAAGCGACAAGAAGAATTGGATAGGGGCTACAAATCAATCATGGAACTGATGAATGTTCTTGAGCTTCGAAAGTATGAAGCTATTCAGTTAACTTTCAAACAGGTATCGTTCTCTTTCTGGTTAAAGCACACGTAGCAGACCAAAATTACTAGTATTGCTCAGTAAAGTGGTTTTTGCACTTATAGGTGGACCTGATAAATGTGAACAAATTCAGAACATAGGTTGCTAATACATAATAACTTGGATGCTTTGCACAGTGCTAAAAAAGAACCAATATGTAGTTATTTTTGTTTTTTTACTAAAGACTTAAAAATGCTTATATATTACTTTTAAATATTTGTCTTTATTTTAAGCTGTAAATTCACCTAAAAAAGTTTATATATGAATTTACATCCTTTTTTTTTAAAGGTATCTAAGAACTTCAGTGAAGTATTCCAGAAGTTGGTGCCTGGTGGCAAAGCTACTCTGGTGATGAAGAAAGGCGATGTAGAAGGCAGCCAGTCTCAGGATGAAGGCGAAGGGAGCGGTGAAAGTGAGCGGGGCTCTGGGTCACAGAGCAGTGTCCCCTCAGTTGACCAATTCACTGGAGTTGGAATTAGGGTAAAATACTTCACATTCAGTTTTTCCCCCAGAGCTCTACCATAGATAAGAATAATTTGTAGAATATTTTTGCAAAGTGTCACCTTATAAACAGTTTAATGTTAACAGGTGATGGTGATTCTAATTCTTTAGGATATTAACTCTATGCATTTTGTTAGGTGTCATTTACAGGAAAACAAGGTGAAATGAGAGAAATGCAACAGCTTTCAGGTGGACAGAAATCTCTGGTAGCTCTTGCTCTGATTTTTGCAATTCAGAAATGTGACCCAGCTCCTTTCTACTTGTTTGATGAAATTGACCAGGCTCTGGACGCTCAGCACAGAAAGGCTGTGTCAGGTGCAGTTTCATTTCGTTTTATTCTTAATAGAGGAACATACTAAAAGATGATGGTATATTTACTCACGGTAGCTTCTTGTTGCCTGAGATATAAGGGAGGGCTCTTTTTCGCAGAAGGCACCCTAGTGGCACCATAGGTTGAGTGTTGGGGCTGCTTTCCTAGAGGTCAGCAGTTCAAACCCACCAGGCACAACTGCAGGCTAGATATGTGGCAGTCTGCTCTGTCCTGTGGGGTCATTATGAGTTAGACTTGCCGTGACAGCAGTAGACTTAGTATTTGGTTTTTCTCTTCAGCATTTAGTTTTGTGTTTTTAATTTATAAAGCTTAAATCTGTAAGAAATAGATGTAAGAAACTTCACTCAATTGAAAATTTACTTCAGTTACATTTTCACACAAAATTTTCTCATTCGAAACTTGTGACTTTCAGTGCTTGAACAACTATCATAATCAGTATTGATTCTAAATTTTCAGATCTGAGAAAGGAAATTCATTAACTTATTATGATTTCTTTGTACAGACATGATTATGGAACTTGCGGTACATGCTCAATTTATTACAACTACATTTAGGCCTGAGCTGCTTGAGTCAGCTGACAAATTCTACGGTGTGAAGTTCAGAAACAAGGTAATGATTTTTTACATGAAGTTTAAGTTCTGTGAAGTATTTAATCTGTTTTGTTGAACTCTGGTTTTATGTTATTTGCCGTGAAAGGAAAGTTAGAAAGTCATTGTTTATATCATCCTGAAATCTACATAAAGAAAAGCTTCCTACAAATGCCTGTGACTGTTAGCTATATTTCGTTTTGTGTTTTGTGCATTAATTTTACTAGTTTTTATTTATTTTCATTGGTATTAAAAAACAGTAACTTCCTTTGCAATCGAGTTCAGTGCTACTCTTACAGTCCTTAAGACAATTCTGTACACATTTGGCAGGATCAAGCCGCTCATTCTAGTCTCTTCAGCTCTAAGGTTCTTTGATTAAATACCAAAGTAATTTGGTCCAGATTTGCAGTAGACAAGCTGAGCAAAAGAGATGATGCAAACAATTAGTTATGTGTATTTATTACATGTCTTGAGAGCATTAAAAATGAAGACTATTTTTTAAGCCAATGCATGGAACAAACACCTTTGTAAAGAAGCTTTTAATCAGTCATTGCTTCAGAATGATTTGTCATGGTATATGAAGTTTATAACAGATAAGCTGTGCATTTTAAATATTACCCCGTATAATGCACATGAACTTTGGTCGGGTAGTGAGTTAAGCATTTGGGCTGCTGAACAAAGGTTTGTGGTTCAAATTCGCCAGCCCCATTGGAGAACGATATGCAGTCTGCTCCCGTAGAGAGCGAGCGACAGCCTCACGGTGCACACGGAGCAGCTCTTCTCTGTGCTGGAGCGTCCGAATGGGCCTGATGCAAGTGGGTTGTACCTCATGGAGACACTGTTGTCTTTCTGTTACACAAGATTAAACAGATTTTGTTTTCATATTCATTGCTCTTTCAGGTTAGTCACATTGATGTGATCACAGCAGAGATGGCCAAAGACTTTGTAGAAGATGATACCACTCATGGTTAATTGAAAACTGTTGCCTGATGGTGTGGAAGATGTGTATAGTAATGTGATTCTGAAGCCCAAGAACTGTAAATTTAAACTTAAATATTTGATCATTATTAATAGTTTTCAGACTTAGGACTTAAATATTCCTTTTATATTCCTGTCTCTGTATTTTATAAGATGCTCTGTAATGTTACATTTCTACTTATAGTTTAAGAATTTTATTTCCAACAGATATTTTTTGGAAAGTGTCTTGTTCCTATTTTAAATCTCTTGAAATATGCTAAATATTCTTCCCTAATTATTTCATCGCTTGTACTGCCTCTTTTTTTTATAGCTTCAATTAAATAATTGGTTTCATGACTAATTCAGTGTTTCATGTGACTTTTATTTATAGTTGTACTAATTAAAAATAATTTTTTCTTAATAATTTACTTTTTATTGCCTGGAAGGGCTCTGCCTTCAACTAAAGGAATATTAAGAAAAAATAACTTTCAGTTTTATATTCTCTTTATTTTAGCACATGGTTTTCAGTCCTGGCTGTGTATTTGAATCCCCTGGGAAGGTTTTAGAGATGCAGCGCTGCTGTGTGTCTGTAGTTTTCCCTGGCGATTCTGACTCTGAATGAGGAGCCCTGCTTTCACTTGATTTGAAATGGCTTTTATTTTGGATACCTATGGATTGAATACAGTGTGTTTTGGGAAAAGTAAATTTTTTTTAAGTAGTTTTATGTGTAACGGAAAACACTAAAGCCATGAAATTTCTCTGTACTAGATACATAGTTTTAGGAAACAGTGTTACATAAACATTTTTACTGAAAGGGGTTTTTTCTCAGAAGAGGTCTTTTGTCTTATTTGGCGTTTTTTGTTTGTTACTATAGCTTAATTGAGATACAATTCATATACCATAAAATTCACCCTTTCAAAAAACACAGTTCAATATATTCCCAGAATTGGGCAACCGTCTCCATAACCTCATTCTGGGACATTTTCATTCCCGCCCCTCCCCCCCAGACCCTGGACGTTGAGCAGTCGCTCCCTGCTTCCCCTCCCTCATTTCTGACAACTCCACATGGACTTTCTGTCACAGTGGATTTGCCTGTTCTGCACATTTCACAGCAGTAGGATCGTATAAAACGGGGCCTTGGGTAATTAGCTTCTTCCACTTAGCATATGTCGTGTCTTTCTATAGTTGAATAATATTGCATGATGCATACAACACATTTATTTCTCATCAATTGATGGACATTTGAGTAGTATCCCCAAGAGCAGTCTTATTAAAACAGAAATTGAGGTGTCCTGGACTTGGTGGGTTGCATGTTGGGCTACTAGCTACAAGATCAGCAGTTCAAACCCACCAGCCTCTCCTGGGGAGATAGATGAGGCCTTTTGCTCCTGTAAAGATTTACAGCCTCAGAAACTCAAAGGGCAGTTCTTCCATGCCGTGTAGGGGCACTGCGGGTCAAAAATCATTACATAGAAGTGGAATTTTTGAGTGAGGCGGATGCTGTGTTCTATTTTTGTGTGGAAATTGAGGGATTGTGATGCTTTTATTTCCATCGTGCCATACTTTGTTAACGAGAACAGGTATTTTTCCCTCTGGAAAAGTATTAAGGTATTATAAAGTATTAATAACAGAATCTATTTCAATTGTCTGTTACTTAAAAATATATTGTGAAATATATTGTGGCCTGTATTTTACCCACTCTGAGGTTGGCTTTGCCCAAAGATTTTGGTCTTTGCCCTTGAGGGCCATATCTGAAGATCCGTGCTAATGAGACGATTCAGGCTACAGTGTGCCAGGCAAGAACTAACACCTGGCATTAACTGACCTAGTGTTTGAGAGGAGGGGACGATTGGATCAATCATGTCAAGTAATAAGGTCCCAATAAAGGCACTTAGGAGAACTACGAGACTTTCTAATCCTGTAGAGTTACAGTCTCTATAGGAAACTATAACGGCAGCACTAGGGCAATTCCACCCAGTCCAGGAGGGTCACGATGAGTCAGAAACAACTTGACTGCAGTGCACTGAATTTGAGTAATTAGGGGTCTGAAGATGGGAGCTCTGTGGGCTTCTTGGTAAATAACTAGTACATGTGGTTAGGTAGTGTGCCCCTTGGTGGAAGTGGAAGCTCTGAATTGGGAACCTTCTCAGACCTCACAAATCTCTTCATTTGTATCCTTTTTGCTATAATAAAATTGTTCATTGTATATAGTGTTTTACTGTGTCTTACAAGTCTTTAGTGAATTGTCAAACATGGGAGTAGTGAGAGCCAGCAGATCAAAACTGAAGGGCACCCTGAGTTTCCACTCCTTAGCAAGTCTCCTGAGAGGGTAAAGGGGTAAAACCTCGCATTTATGGCCACCGGTTCAGAAATGAGGGCATTTTAGGGCCCTCCAAGCTTGTTGTCTGAAGTCTTAACTGCCCCCCTGTGAGCTCTGATCTCACTCCAGTGGTTAGGGTCAGAGGAGGAAGTGCTGCGGGAGCAACTGGTATCACAAGTGGGACTGAAGGCACAAGAATTCAATGGAGATTGATTTACTTTCCTTGAAGTGACGTTAAATATTTTTTTGCTAAATTCATTGATCTAGTTGAACATTTCGTTTGATGTAAGAATTCAGATTTTTTTTCACTTTAAAATTAGTGTCATCGAGTTAATACCAACTCATAGAAACCCTAAAGGGCAGGGTAGAATCACCCCCGTGAGTTTCCCAAACTCAACTCTGGGAATAGAAAATCCTGCCTTTCTCTGGAGGACCTTGCAGATGACAGCCCAAAAAGTAACCATTACACTAGCACTTCCCCTAGGAATTCAGATTTTACAAAGCATTTCCTCTTCTCCAATGTGGCTTTTATGTTAACACTCTAAGAATATCAGAACCTTGCAGTTACCGCATATACTCATGTATAAGCTGAATTTTTCAGCACATTTTTAATGCAGTTTTTGTGGTAAAATTAGGTGCCTCGGCTGATATTTGAGTCAACTTATACTCGAGTATATACAGTAAGTCTATTTAGAGCCAGAAGTACTTTTCTTTACATTTTAGTTTAATGCCTTAATTGTACAGTGAGGAAATTTGAAGTCCAGATAGGCAAACAACTAAAGAGCCAGAACCAAACCTGGCTTTCCTCTCTTGAGAGGAACAGACTTTCTAATACCTTTGCTTTATATTTCTTCTAAGTTAAAATGGAAGTGGGAAGCTACCAGATCCTGTTTGTATAATGTTGCTGATCTACTTCATTACTCAGAGAAACAATTTTAGGAACCAAATCCCCCTTCCCCAACCATTTAATTAGGAGCTACTACAGATAAATCGTTCCATAATTCAATCACATCAAGCAGTATTATACAGCTGCTACCACAGATTCAAAAGATTCTCTTCTTGAACTCCCTTTTATCTACTCCCTCCACTATGCCCCCCCCCAAACCCTTATTCTACTTGCTTTCTGTATAGGTTCATCAATCCTGGGTTTCATATACCGAAAAACACATAATAAAAATTCAAGAGGGTCCCCCCCAGTGGCAAAACACATCTGAGAGGAACCGCAATCTGAACAAAAACCACAGAAAATGTTGAAAACCTGATCAGGCCCACAGGTTTTCAGGGTATGAGTCACCACCGTTAGTTTTCTTTGCCCTTTCCCTACCCTTCTTCTTTTTGCTTGAGAGCCTGCCTATTTAGGTACACTCCAGTGACTTGTCTCAGTGTCCTATTCAGGACTGATGACTCCTAGCTGCCAGTCTTCTGCATGTAAGTTGCCAGTTTTGCTCCATAAATCTGCCACCATATGGCACTCAGTCTCCCCTTCCTAGAGACAGAGTGTCTCCTGGGTGTAAGAGCCCTTGTGGCAGCCAGTAACTGTACACAGGATATGAGGTAACATAGAGATGGGGTTTGCATAGAGAACAGGGACATATTTTACAACTATTGCAAGTAGACTGTTAGCATTTAAATGTATCCTTATGGAGTTTGTGTGTTTCTAGTGTGCTAGTCAGATCAGTGCCTAGCACGTTAAGTGGATTATAGTGCAGACACAAATGTTCAAATATCCAGTCATACCAAGTCTTACTTGGGTCTCATAAATCTTAGTCATTAAAAATGGTGGACATAGCAACTGTTAGTCTCTACCAATAGTCTCAGCCAGTATGAAGCAAAAGAATGAAGGAAATATAAAAGGTTCAAAGAAGAACCTAGAACCGAGACTAAATAGCCCACATGAGCCGCCATCTCTTCTAACTTAAGACCAGAACTAGATGGTGCCCAGCCACTGCTACAACTGTACTGACACAATGGAAAGTCCAGGATAGAATAGAAAATGTAGAACAAAACTCAAATTCCTAAAAAAAGGGTTAAACACTGGGCCAAGAGACTAGGAGATACCCTTTGAACTTAAAGCTATTTCTGCAGGTCAATTTTTGACTAGTAAATTGGTTTATAAAATAAAGTTGAATCAGGAAACCGGTTGCCCGAAAGCAGAGAGGAGGATGAAAGGAGGGGAAGGGATGCCAGTTCAATTGAAACAAGTAGGGCTGGAGATGCGGAATGTTGACACTTTGTAAAACTGGACCGAATGGAACAATGTATATAGAAACTGCTAAAGGGGAACCCAATTTGCAGTATAAACTTCCACCTAAAGCATCTTTCAACATTCCTGTAGTTAACTTTAAGGCTTCCTACCCTCCACTATCCTGACCCCAGTTCTACCTTACAAATCCAGCTAGACTGGAGAATGTACCGTGGTACAGATAATGAGCTCTGCACTGGGGATCCAGGACAGGTAAGCCCCCCAGGAACAGTAATGGAAGTAGTGATACCATGAGGATAAGAGAAGGGGGTGGGGGAAGGGGAACCGATCAGTGTATAACCCCTAACCCTCCACCCTCACAGGATGAACAACAGACATGGGTGAAGGGAGACAGCGGACAGTGAGATATGAAAATACCAATAATCAGAGGGTCACGAGGATGGGATGGTGGAGGGAGGGAAAAAGGAGCTGATACCAAGGGCTCACGTAGAAAATGTTTTGAAAATGATGGCAACATGTACAAATGGGCTTGATACAGTTGATGTATGGATTTGTTATAAGAGCTCTAAGAGCCCCCAATAAGACGATTCACTTAAAATTAAAAAAAAAAAGTTTAGCTCATAAAATAAAGCTTGTAGAAGAAAAAGAATAAAATTAAAATATTAAATGGTGACCATAAAAACTGGAAACATTAGGTGGTCTTAAAGATGAGGAAAAAAAATTTAACTTGAGAAATGTGAATTTAAGGCGAAGTTATGACTTAGGTTCACAAAAGCAGCAAATGTAACAAAAGTTTACACCACTTCTTAGGTAGAGATCTGGACTGGGAAAGATTTTT